ACGGACGCAGGAATGCCGTCTGGCCCGGCAGCAAACGAGAGTTTCAACTTTTGAAGAGCTAGATTGACGGTATGTACACTGATGTGAAACGGACGGAGCTCAAATGCATCTGTTGGAGAATCGCTTATAGCAATCGTGATTCATTAAACGAACTCATGAAATGTTGAGCAAAAAGGCGGCATTTCTCCGCTTCAGATTCAGCGGTTTGCTCACCGAGATGAACTGACAATGGCAAACCGACTTCGTTCTTTTTAGAGTTTACAAACGACCAGAAACGCTTTGGATTTCTGCGAAGAGATGATTTCGTGCGGAAGACATATCGTCGATACAGGAATCTGTTGCATTTCCTTTAGTCGTTAATTGTGCGGTTGAACTCCTGCTTTGTAATGTACGAACGATTTTGGCAGTATCTTCGCAGCGTTTAAGCCCTATACCGTTTCAGTCAACGCAAGTGACCGTTAGACCACGGTGGCTTTGGTGCGGGGCGGGCAATAGGTACAAATTCAGCCAAGATATCCCAAATCATTTGACTGAAATATTCAACGGCATCGTCAACACATTCAGCTAATTCTAATGGTCGCCAATCGATACCGGAAATAGCAGCGCTAATCGCAACATAGTCGGCTCGACGGAAATCCAGTGTACGATTATTTACGGAACAATCCTCAAAAACGACTGGTGCTGGGAGGTTCATCAGGACATCTAAAGCAGGGTGGTCTGCATCAAGAAAGATCAGAGGTTCTATGGCTTCCGAAACGGTGCATGCCAAAGTTGCAGCTTCGTTAGACAGAACAAGGTACAATACACCATTGATCTGCGTGAGGCCATGTAAAGCGAAACCGTCGATAAGCGTTGAACTAGCAGCCGACAGAACCGATTGAGGCTCAACCTGGAAAGACCCATCGTACGACTTACTCCACCGGAGCAAAGGCTCTGCAGCTCGGAGATTATAATTTGGAAACAATAGCACCGATGGAGTTCACATGATCCTGAATACCAATGACATCATTGCGGCGGTCAGGTGGTAAATAGATCACGCCTACACTAATAACTCGACTTGGCGTAGTGATTCTAACCCACAGCTGTTCTAGAACATCGGAAACAGGTGTCGGATCGCTATAACTGTTCCAACGAGATGAAACAGCGATTAGGACACCTCCACCACGGGTTTTTGCCCTGTTGGAGGCATTACGGTCTGTGCGATAAACCGAAAAGGCATTTCTGAACAGTTGAGCACTGTATAAACGGTCATCGAGCCATGTCTCCGTCAATACAATGACATCATAATCGCAGTCGTTAGCGGACAAAAAGAACGAATCTACCGAAATCCGTAGTCCTCGAACATTCTGGTAGTATATGCGCAGGAGATGAGCTACGTTTACAGCGCTAACTGCAACAGATGCGTTGTCGGCCGACTGAGCCGTGGTGGAAGATGAAGAGCTGCATACAATACCACTGAAATTCGAACAGACATCAGGAAGAGGCAATCCAACATTAACGTGGTACTTGCCTACTAGAGCAGGTTGGAAGACGCTCTCTCTACATCCAACAACGGGTCTGGGACGACTGTGAAGAGCGCAGGCAGCGGTATGCAGGACCGTGTCGGAGAGATCGAGGGAACAACAATTTTTTGGACGATGACAATGTTCTCAGGGTTCGAGGTCGAACGCAAGCTTGCCCGTTTATCACCCGCGACGCCGCTCAACCAATCATACTTCCTCGTGAGCACCCAATCACACGGGTCATCCTCCTTCATTTCCACAAGCGGTTCAACCACCAGAATCACGAAACAACGCTCAACGAAGTACGTCAACGTTACCGAGTTCCCAGACTGAAGGCGATATACAAGACTGTACGCAAGGAGTGTCAGGAATTCAAAAACGACCATGCGTCTCCGCAGCCTCCTGCTACGAGTGACCTACCACCGTACCGTCTCGCTGCTTTCACACGACCCTTTACATACATGGGGGTGGATTATTTTAGTCCTATGATCGTCATCGTAGGACGGCGCTCCGAAAAACGGTGGGGAGTCCTAGCAACATGCCTCACAACCCGCGCTATCCACTTCGAACTAGCTCACACACTGACAACCGATTCGTGTATCCTAGTGATACGAAACATCATGTCCAGGAGAGGGACACCTGCAGTTATCTTCAGTGATCGTGGTACCAACTTCCAAGGGGCCAGTAAGGAGCTGAGAGAAGTACTGCAGAACATCGATCAGGAACAGCTCATGCAAGAGTTCACGACACCTAATACAGAGTGCACCTTCATACCCACAGCTACACTACACATGGGCGGGGCATGGGAACAAACCTTCATAAGCTGCAATGGAGAAGACATCCGACCGATGAGATTCTCAATAGCACGCTACTGGAAATCGAGAATGTCATAAACTCACGATCACTGACTGACATCCCATTGGAAGACGATGAATCACCGGTGGTGACGCCCAACAATTTCCTGCTAGGATCGTCAAACGGGTTGAAATCATGGGTGCCATACAACGATAATCTTATCGTGCTCCGAAATAACTGGAAGCAATCGCAGGTCATGGCCAACGAATTCTGGCGACAGTGGTTGAGAGATTACCTTTCTGAAATCACCCGGCGCACCAAGTGGTTCATGAGGGTGAACCCGATCGAAGTGAACGACGTGGTGATCATCGTAGATCCGAAGGCCCCTCGTAACAGCTGACCATTGGGACGAGTAATTGCAACAATACCATCAGGACAGGACGGGCAAGTCAGGAGTGCCTCCGTCCAAACTAATCGTGGCATCTACGAACGGCCCGCAGTGAAACTCGCCGTGCTCGACGTAGGCGTTAGGGACCAATACGCTTCGGTAGGACTTTCTGCGCATTCAGAGGGGAATGTTAGCACGCCCGTCGATTCGGCGAACTCCTCGTAGGTCTGCGGATCGTAGGGAGTGAACAACGGCGGCTGTTATCGATCTTGTCATGATCGATACGCCATGATCGCAATCTGACACCCGATGATGATTTGCGAAACATGAACCAATGAGACAAAAGAAGATACTAGTTACATGCTAAAGCGGAGTTAGTCTATTATTAAAACCTAAATTTATCTTATAATCTAGTGCTAAAACATATGTTAACCTATCTGGTGCTTAAATCTTTACCGTTAATACTAAATTCAACATAAGGTGAGGTGTAGAGTTGGAAAAATATCGTATTTGCTTACAGATTAGTGTTCTTACAAATAGGTTACAACTACGGCTAGAAACTAAGGAGAAATTAGTGCTATACTATAAATACTACAAACTACAACTAGATCAACATATTACACAAGTGAACGGTAAGAAACAAATATTAAACCTGGGATCACCAGTTTGCTTATAAGGCTTAATTTATATACCAGCTAAAGCTGCGCATAGCTAGGGATGCTCAAGACGCATTCGGAGTATTATGTGCAAGAGAAGTTGAATTTCTAAAAGTATGTTGAGTAGGGTATTTAATTTCACACATGTATAATTTATTAATTAATCCCTCTAGGAATTTATGCCCTCCCTATTACTCTTGGTAATAAGCTTTAATGAATTCGGTTAATTCAGGCGACATCTGCAACTATTCTTCCAATAAGGGGGGTGATGTGGAACTAGCTTAGTTAGTGTACGCCGAGGAAATTAATGGAGCCCTGTCCTGTGTGGTCTCGAAGCAGAGGTCCAAACAACGATCATTTTCGTTAACTACATGGTTGATTTGCGAAAGCGTTGCTGCGCTGTAGTTGTCGAGAAGGCTAATAGCTCCTGCGTGAAATGTAGACGCTTTCGATAACTGTGAAAACTGACCGACAGTGAGTATCGATGAGTTCATTGTCCCGGACTCGATCAGGTGGAATGTACAGAGCGCATAGAAATAGTGTGCGATCACCCAGATTGATGGCTGTCCAAACCTGCTCCACATAGTTCTATGAATCGTTCTCGATGGCCTTTGCCTCCAACCTGCCACGGACAGCTACAAGGACACCTCCACCAGTAGATTTACGGCTGTTGTTAGGATTCCGATCGCAACGAAACACTTCGTAGTCAGGACCGAAGACTTGACTGGAAAGCGTTCGATAATCGAGCCATGTTTCGCACAGGATAATTACATCGTAGCAACAATCCGATACAGCTAGGCGGTACTCTTCAACATCAGAATTCATTCCACTGAAGTTTTGGTAGAAGATCACGACGTCCTGCTTGCGGCAAGGATCGAACAGCTGCTCATCATCAGGCAATAACTGATCATCATCAAGTCTGATTGAATACTCGCCATAGGGAGTGGGTTGAAAGACCCCCTCTCCACATCCGACAGCAGGTCCGGAACGACTTTGATGAACTAAGGCTGCTGATGGCAGGACTCAGACGGAGGGATTGGGGCTTCCATGGCGCTTTCTACGGCGTGTTCCGGGTTCCCAGGATTGGGTGTTACAGAGGCATCATCACAATGACTAACATAGTTCGAATTGCTGAAAATTTGTATTGGCAGTGAATAGGCAATATATTGATTGTACTTGCCTGTAGAGGCAAGGTGGAAGAATCCTGATTCATATCCAGCTACAGGTCCAGGACGACTATGCTGAACGCTGGCAGGAATCGAACTAGGCTGGAGGAACCAGGAGCTTCCAAAGAGCGTGTGCGTCCCATATGCGAAGTCTACGCCTGGAAAACCTCGGTCGTGTTCGTTGCTGAATATTAATTTCGATTATCGCTCATCCGACTACATGCCCAGCGCTTTATACAACGTTAAATTCGTGCGACATCGCCAAATGGCATTAACTAGCTTACCAAGTATTGTTTGCACTCGGCTTCCTAGAACGTCCAGATTATAACAGGGGAGGGTATCAGTGTCTAATACAACAAATCGAATTTTGATTAATCTCATGCAGTACACCATTTCAAAATGGCACGAGCGTCCATGTTGCATTGCGTTCGACGAATGTCCATCTTACTTACCACTAAACTAATGTATAATTTCCCATTCGCCCACTTTCCAGGTTCCATGGGAGCTGAGACCGTTCCGGGCTGCGCTGTACTACGACGCCGAGTTGGGCGAATTCGAGAAACCAACTCCACCACAGTTTATCCAGTAGATTCAGTAGGAAGGGGGCAATTGCAACAACATGCTGCCACCGTTACAGTTTTCTGATTGAGATCGGTTTAAAAATAATTAATGTGAAATCTAAAAATCCTGTATAAATAAAATTCAAACAAAAAAATCCGAACAAGGGCGATTTCTTTCGCAATGATGACACTCAAAGGGAGGAGAATTTCAACACCTAAAAGCATCTATTTTCCCCGCTCAGAACAATAGACAATAAATAAAACTGAACTCTATACTGACTGCTCTACTGTACGGAAACACATTTATCACGATTGGTTTCGAAACGGAAATTTTTCAGTTGATTAAAAATGCGCACATCAGAAGTGGGAAAAACGTTGTTCAACATCTACACAACAGCAGCTCTGATAGAATTATTCATCTTCGGTTACACAATAATGTATAGATTTGCCAGCTTTGAGTAAGACTTCCATAGACAGAAACATTTCCCTAACAGTAGTAGCAGAATATTTGGAATAACTTTGTTCGACTTCCACGCGAAGAACACATAAATACACTCAGCTACGATTCGAAGCTAGGACTCGAATAAATACTGAAACCACGATACTTACCTTTCTTGGAAGCTTTAGGTTTTTCGCTTATGATCGCGCTGCTGTTCGGGAATCTCGTCCTGCAGTTCCATGATATGATCCACCGGCTGCGGCCGCCCGTCCTCGCCGATCTTGCACGGCTGAACGATGCCCTGTCGCTGCAGTTTATCCATCAGTGCCACCAATTGCATCGCTTCGTACTCCTTCTGCTCCTCGGACATGCCTTCCAGCGGGTTCGGCTTCGGTGGTTCGTAGCAGCCCAGCACCGGATTGATGGCATGCTGGATCTGTTTGTACTCTTCCGTATCGCTGTCCTCGGAATCGGACGAATACTGTTCCGTATTGCCCTGGCGGCCGCCCAGCAAACCACGATTCGCAAACAGACCGGCCGCATTGCCATAGCCCGTGTATTTGATCATCCGACCGACGTTTTCCTTGCACAGGACGAAGAGCAATTCCGCGGACAAGTCGGCAATTTGAGTGATCGGGCTCGTTAGCAGCGAGCAAAGGTAGTTGCGTAGCTCCGTGCCGACTTCCGGTCGTTCTTTTACGTTCTTCAGAGGAGGAAGCACTTCCGATCGAACGTAACGCCGGTTCAGAGCCGTCGCTCGAATCGTCTTGATCAGGACCGTCAGAATAGGCGACAACAGTTCGTACTGATCGGACTTCTTTTCTGATTTTTGGAAAACCCGTCTCAGAAACTCCACCAGCACGTGCAGGACATACACGTTCTTTCCTTCGAATGGCACAACGGTTTTGGAATCCAGATCTTCCGGGTTCAACGGTGAGACAAGCTCGCTATAACAGCTGACCGGAACACTGGTTAGGAGATTGACAATGTTCGATTGGAGAGAAATGATCTTATCTCGATTCAGGGTGCGATAGAAGAATAGATCGTGAACGACTACTGCTAAACGATGGAATTGATTGGCTTCTTCTTCCTCCGGAACGGCATTCAAGGGTGTGCGAACGGTTAAATTGAACAGAACCTTCAGCACTTCATTAATCAACTCGAGATCTTTGTCCTAAAACAAATCATTCAGATCAGCTTTACCCGCAAACACAATTAATACAAAGACTTACGCTAAACTCCTTCGCTTCGGCTGCCTGTCCCATGAACAGATCCAACGTTTCCACCAGGTACACCAATCCATGCAGTTCCTCTCGAACCTTCGCTCGAATATCACAGTTGATTGCCGTTAGTAGGAACAGCAACTTCATATCAAAGTATCTAATATCATAGCAAACATTTCCGTCCCTGAAAAATATCAACTTCATTTTTGACTTTGTCCACCCAAACACCCACAGCATCCCCCTTCCTACTTGTAAGTTTTGATCCTCCGCATAATGCCCTCGGTGAAAGAATTGTTCAGACACAGCTCCTGGCACTTGCTGCTCTGGAAAATCAAATTGCTCAAGCACTTCAACGCTTCCACCTGGACCTCTTCGCTCGCTCGGCACTGGCAGCTTTCGCCACCGATCCCTGCCAAACCGAGCAAACAAGCCAGCTGCTGCTCCCGGACCGTCTCGTTCAGGTAGGTCTTGTCGCGACTGAGCAGCTTGATCGCCACCAGACAGTCCTCCCGGTGCTCGGGCATATCCGCGTCGGCCAAGTATTCGAACAACCTGTTCCACAGCAGCACCCACTGGCCCGAGGTCGTCAGGTGCGAGAAGTTGAAAATCTGCTGGTGCTGTTTGTTGAACTGGTCCAGACCCGCCCCAAGTTGCGCGTAATCTCCGGTGAGTAATCGATTCAACGTTGCCGCATCCATAATTGAATATTTGTATCCACTTCCGTGTAACTTCTTTCACTTAACTTCTACTCGACTCCAAATTAATTAATTAGATTAAATTTGGGTGATTTCTTGCCAAAATTTGGAATTTTTTTCACTACGCGCCCTACGCGCTAATCCACAACACTCACTGTTTTTGTTTTGATGGTTGTCAACCTTTTGTCGACTGACACGTCGAGTCGACAAAGTGGGCGGAGGGAGAATCGATTTTATAGCAAACTCATCTGTAGGTGGGGTTTTGCCAGGAAGATCACCTACGTATTTGGTATAAAAAAATAAACAATAGTTTGCCTCTCCACGCAGAATCTCACAAACACGCGGGACGCTAAACTGGGTTAATACCCACAAAATTATATGGAATGTGTAAGCTGGAAATAATTTTAAATTTGAATGAGCTATTATTTTTTTTTCTTTCCTTTATTTAACGTCGGTCTCTGTTCCGCAATCTAGTGCCAATCACCGACGGACATCGATTGCCATCCATTGACGGCAATCGAATGTGCAGGAAGGCAGCTTCCACACCTGCGTAGGATATCGCACCCATTCAACAACACACATGGGCCGAGACCAACGGCTTCCCGAATAGAAATTTACATTAGCCCAACGTTTGATTTTGATGTCTACATCAGCATCGAAATCAAATGTATGCCTGATGTCAAACATTAGGAAACATTATGATTTAGTTGTATTTAAGCAACGTAACATGGTGTATACATCAGAAATTTTGGAACAAAATTTTGCCATTCTAATGTCGGTCTGACGTCAAAAATTTCAATCTATTGACATTAGAACCAAACGTTTTAAGGATGTTTTCAGATGTACAAAACGTTAGAACTAAACGTTGTTCGGATGTTTTTAAATGTAAATGTATTCTGATGTTTTCTAACGTAGATGCCTCCCGATGCTGGAACCAAACTTTTTTTTGATGTTTTCGGATGTACACAACGTTAGAACTAAACGTTGTTCGGATGTTTTCAATTGTACTTCGTGTTTGATGTTCTCTGATGTTTTCAGATGTACAAAACGTTTAAAGTAAACGTTGTTTGAATGTTTTCAAATGTAGATGTTTACTAATGTTTTTAGATATACAAAACACTAGAATCTTACTTTTCAAATGCTTTCAATTATATTTACAACACATTAGAATTAGAAACATGATCGTGTAAACACTACACACGATTGTTGTTAGATTACATCATAAAAATGCGTACATAACAGTCAATGCTGAAGCTCCCGTTTCCCACCAGTCAGTTAACTGACCTTAGCTAACCTAATATCATTGTGGCAACTCTCTATGCGACAGGGGAACTATGCCATTAGCGCGCTAAGAGTTGTTAGACCACTGACATAGACGCCTATTCGTGGGTGACGAGGCACTTGGTGACATTACAGCGAGCTTGGCGATTGTCATAGCATTTTTGAGTGAACTACCAGACAATCATGACAATGTGATCGCTGCGCCTCCAGATCTCCCTTTAAATCGACCCATTCGGTTTCCCCATCACGATCCGTATCCGGTTTCCCCATCACGATCCGTATCCGGTTTCCCCATCAGGATTCGTATTCGGTTTCCTCATCGGGATCCGTATTCGGTTTCCCCATTGGGACCCGTATTTGGTTTTCCCATCGGGATCCGTATTCGGTTTCCCCATCGGGATCCGTCTACGGAATCCCCATCGGGCTCCGTTTACGGAACCCGTCATCGCCCGAAAAAAAATAACAACAAAAATACATTAAAAAACAATGTAACAATAAGACGAAAATTATTGTCTTAACAATGATTTATATTGTTACGTCTACAATAAATTTACCTTGATTTATGTTGTACAAAACAATAAATTTCATGGTAAATGGAAAATTTACAATAAAAAAGGGGGGTTGTTAAGTATCTTAACAATGAAATTTTCGTGATTTTCCCATATAATTTTTTTTCAATAACATTATATATTATTGTTATTTTACTGTTGATTGGCGAATTTATTGATTAAAAAAAATAACAGTGTACTTTAGAGTGTATGTGTTGGCTTGACAGATCTACTTTATCGACTTTAAAAATAAATCGAAAAAATAAAACATTGCCCCGGGAAGGGAAGGGGGTGGTATGTCTGTTACGGGTGGTCCTTTTTTTACTGGTTATGGATCGAGATTCGATCCGGAACTTGTGAGAAATGCAGGCCAACTCCCCTGCGCTCGATATCCATAGGTCACGTCTCCTTGGTGGTTGAGCGTCGTTGATAAGTTAATGCATTCGACTGGAGAGAATCGCCCATGAAATATGCTTCCCCCTGAAAGTTCTTTCCTGACATCTTCAAGTGGTGGAATTTTTTATTATTATTGTATGATTATTGACTGCACGGAAAAGGTCTCCATTAAGCTTTAGAGAGGGTCTAGGATAAGATATGAGCGGACGCGGACTGCCTGGTTTTGAGCCAAACGAACTGTCAAAGCCAGAGCCATACGAGCAGCGCCTATCTTAATTACATTGGCAGTGTTGCTGACCCTCTCATAGTCTGCATGCTTCAAACAGATTTATTTTTATTGTTCGTGAAGTAACCCACAATGAAAATACACCAATATTTAATGTAACAACAATTTTTATTGTAATAGAGTTGTTCATTATTGTTCATGATCGAATCATGTTAACAATAAAATGGCGTCAGACATTGATTTCCGGTCTCAAGACGTCATCCTGATTCCAAAAATACCCATATTGAAGGATATTTGGCATTATTTCCCAGTTTTAATCTAACCAGAAGCCGCCATCTTGGATTTCAAAATGGCGTCAGAATTTAATATCCGGTATCTATACGTTATCCTGATTCCAAAAATACCCATATGGGAGGATATTTGGCATTATTTCTCAGTTTTAATCTAACCAGAAGCCGCCATCTTGGATTTCAAAATGGCGTCAGACTTTGATATCCGGTATACATACGTTATCTTGATTCCAAAAATACCCATATTAGAGGATATGTGGCATTATTTCCCAGTTTTTCTAAAAAAGGAAGCCGCCATCTTGGATTTTAAAATGGCGTCAGACCTTGATTTCCGGTATTTATACGTCATCCAGATTCCAAAAATACCCATATTGAAGGATATTTGGCATTATTTCCCAGTTTTTATCTAACCAGAAGCCGCCATCTTGGATTTCAAAATGGCGTCAGACTTTGATATCCGGTATATATACGTTATCCTGATTCCAAAAATACCCATATTGGAGGATATTTGGCATTATTTCCCAGTTTTAATCTAACCAGAAGCCGCCATCTTGGATTTCAAAATGGCGTCAGACATTGATTTCCGGTCTCAAGACGTCATCCTGATTCCAAAAATAGACATATTGGAGGATATTTGGCTTTATATCCCAGCTTTCCTACAACCGGAAGCCGCCATCTTGGATTTCAAAATGGCGTCAGACTTTGATATCCGCTATATATACGTCATCCTGATTTCAAAAATACCCATATTGAAGGATGTTTGGCATTATTTCTCAGTTTTAATCTAACCAGAAGCCGCCATCTTGGATTTCAAAATGGCGTCAGACATTGATTCCCGGTCTCAAGACGTCATCCTGATTCCAAAAATAGACATATTGGAGGATATTTGGCTTTATATCCCAGCTTTCCTACAACCGGAAGCCGCCATCTTGGATTTCAAAATGGCGTCAGACACTGATTTCCGGTATTTATACGTCATCCTGATTTCAAATATACCCATAGTGAAGGATATTTGGCGTTATATCCCAGTTTTTCTACAACCGGAAGCCGCCATCTTGGATTTCAAAATGGCGTCAGACATTGATTTCCGGTATATATGTCATTCTGATTCCAAAAATACCCATATTGAATGATATTTGGCATTATTTCCCACTTTTAATATAACCGGAAGCCGCCATCTTGGATTTCAAAATGGCGGCAGACATTGATTTCCGGTCTCAAGACGTCACCCTGATTCCGGAAATACCCATTTTGAAAGGTATTTGACAGGTGTTTAAAGGTGTTTAATTTTTTTTCTATAACCGGAAGCCGCTATCTTGGATTTCAAGGTGGCGTTGGTTGACGATTTCGTAATACATCATTTCAGGCATAACATTTGATAACGGCACAAAAGCATTTGTAAACAAACATTCTAAGGTCCTTTACACGCGTTATGCCTGATTTGAATTCACAGTTTTTCTGTATTCAAAAACCGCTATTTCGACTTGACACTGCATAATATTATTAATCAAATACAATTTCTGTTTAGTTATCTGCCATCACTGGCAATTCTGAATAATGCGCACCACGCACATAAACACACAACAGTACCGGATCGGTTCTTGAATTCAAAACATCATCCTTGTGAACACAGAACACCGGTACTGGAAAATCAGAACCGCACCGTGTGCAGCGAACTGGTGAACACGGTGCGGTGTTACTTGCAACTACCAAACCGAACCGACAGCAGCACACTACACTCGGTACAGCAGATCAGCACATTGGTTATGCTTTAGAAAACCGTACCGGTGCTGTACCGGTGTTTTGCCCATCACTGATTGTTTCCACTGAAAATTTCACTGTATTTTTTTTTTCGGGCGGGCTTGTAGCTTTTAGTAAATACACTGACTAACCTGCAAAGAGATCTGGCTGCAAACTCCCCGCCCGGGATCCAGCTTCGGATTCCCTACCGGGATTCGGCTGGGACTGGTACCGGTACACTTTCCTAAAAAAAAAACATAATTACATTACATTAAATTAATAAATTCACATTTACTTACCAGAAAAACATTGCATCGCCACCAAAACTCGCGACGGACACATTATTGGCACTCTCCCGGGCTAATTCGTAAACAAATCAAACTTTTCCCACTGCGAAAAAAAACTGTACACGGCCAATGAGATCAACGCAAATTTGAGTACAGTGTACTCAATATCGAAAAAAGTGCAGGATGAGTAAATTTGCTGCATATTTTCCTGTGGAAAACCTCAAAAATCTGCCCTAAAATAAGGAAAATTTACGAGAATCCAGAGAATACAATCTTTGCTTTTCTCATATTCGGAACATGAGGGAAATTAATTCAAAACTGAGTTCCTGCACTTGTTGCGATTTATGAGTGAACTAACCTCAAATTTGGGTC